TTTTTTTGAGACAGAGTCTTGCTCTGTTACCCAGGCTGGAGTGCAGTAGCACGATCTTGGCCCCCTGCAACCTCCACCTCCCAGGTTCAAGCAGTTCTCCTGCCTCAGCCTCCCAAGTAGCTGAGATTACAGGCATGTGCCACTATGCCTGGCTAATTTTGTATTTTTAGTAGAGATGGGGTTTCATCATGTTGGCCAGACTGTTCTCAAACTCCTGACCTCAGATGATCTACCCACCTCAGCCTCCCAAAGTGCTGGGATTACAGGCATGAGACACTGTGCCTGGTCTAGAGTGCCTTTCATGAAGGCCTCATAGAAACCGTCTTCCCCTCCATGGATAAAAGAACTTCCTGGCTGGGTGTGATGGCTCACGCCTGTAATCCCGACACTTCAGGAGGCTGAGCGGGGAGGATTGCTTGAGCCCAGGAGTTTGAAGCTGCAGTGAGCTATGATCATGCCGCTGCATTCCAGCCTGGGCCACAGGGACTTCATCGGAAAAGAACTTCATCCCATTTTTGAAAAATATGCAGCCTTCTGGATCTCTCATCCATTTTCCTGTCTTGATATGGACAGGAATTTGAGTAACATACAAAGACCAAGGGAGAGGGGAACAGAGATAGAGACAAAGACAGACAAGACCCAGGAGAAGAGAGAGAAATCTCTTTCCACCAAGAGACTCCTTGAGTGCTCAGACCCAGCGACCCCAGGGCAAACCAGAGAAGGTGTTACGTTAGATGCTGTCTCTAGCAGTCACTGAGATCAACTACAAACACACCAGGGAGATGGCTGTCATCCCAGATGTCAGGATGGCTGTGGCTGTGTTTCAGTGGTCTGGGGAGATGCAGGGCTTGTGTGGCTTACTTGGCCTCTTGTCTCCCTAGCTCGCCCTCCCCCACCTGCGGAAGAGCCAAGGGAATGTCATCAACATCTCCAGCCTAGTGGGGGCAATTGGCCAGGCCCAGGCAGTTCCCTATGTGGCCACCAAGGTATAGCAGCCCCTACCCCTTCCTTCCCTCCCTACTCCTTCCCATGGGCCTTAGCTTGGAGTCCAGACACCTTAGGAGCCAAACCTAGCAAGATCTTGGCCCTAGAGAGTCTCACACCCAACTGCCAGATTCAGCACCCAGGCATAACTGCCTGTGATAGATTTCTGTTTTTTTCTTTTATTTATTTATTTATTTATTTTATTTTATTTTTTTGTTTTAATTTTTTTGAGACGGAGTCTCGCTCTGTCGCCCAGGCTGGAGTGCTGTGGCTTAATCTCGGCTCACTGCAAGCTCCGCCTCTCGGGTTCACGCCATTCTCCTGCCTCAGCCTCCGGAATAGCTGGGACTACAGGCGCCTGCCACCACGCCTGGCTAATTTTTTTGTATTTTTAGTAGAGACAGGGTTTCACCGTGTTAGGCAGAATGGTCTCGAACTCCTGACCTTGTGATCCTCCTGCCTTGGCCTCCCAAAGTGCTAGGATTACAAGCGTGAGCCACCACGCCTGGCCCTTTTTTTTTTTTT